ACCTTACCCAAACCATGTGAACAAATAAGTCACAGAAAAATTCTATATTTTATTCAATTTAAATTTTATTTAACAATAATACCACAAATAAATAATTACACCTAGAATTGTGTAACAGTGTGAAGGCTATTTTATTTTGTACTTCCAAGTGTAACATCTTATTACAACCTGTAAAAGCCCTTCTTCTCACATTGCTCCTCTCATTGTAACTCCCATTACCAGCCATACCAACAGTCTGTCAAGTTTTCTGGCCCAACCAGTCCTGTAAAAAAAAAAAAAATTAACATTGAAAATTGCATCAACTATTCCAGATTTACCAATATAGGATACTAATGTAGCTCTAAAACTCATTTGTATTAATCATCTTGTTAGATCATGGAAAGTGAGTGCCTTAGGCCAGAGTTTCAACTCCTTATAGTCTTTAGAAATAAAATAACATCCACTCAAACAAACAGACAGGAATGGGGGAGCAACATACATATAATCAATAATTAAACAATGTGAAAGGAGGGGGAAAAGACAACTTTATAGAGTTGTTCATTCCTTATAATGCCCAATATGTTGGAAGAAAAACATTAGCATGCGTCAATGGTTAGCAAATTGAAAAGTTGCCAATTGTTTATTGCATTTAAATTAACCTCTAAACATTACCCAGGTTGAGAACTATTGTTTTAGACAAAAAATAAAAATTCTGTGATCAATTTCATTCTTTCAATGTAGATATTTTAATAGTACAGTATTATTATTTTCTCTCAATCGCCTACGAATATAGCATACTGAAATGACTAGCAATACATGACAAGCAAAAATAAATAAACAGTCTGTGATCACAAATAAAAAAACATGTACTTTTCATGTGAATAAGCCACGATTAGATTTAGATCTCATACAATTTTACAACCACTGAATCACTTTCAGCTTTATAAGTCAATTGCGGTTGCTGGATTTGCTGTGATCTTCCTATAATTTTAAAAGCATTAACATTACATTGTTTCGCACACATGAAGCACAGGCCTCGCCTCGGACGTTCCGCAGGGCCGGTCTATCGCACATGATCGCACCCCGTTCGCGTCTGTATAGGCATTCTCATGTTCAGGGGCAACTGAAACAGCTACCAGGCAAAAGTTCACTTCAATAAAGAAAAAAGTGGCATCCGAGTTTGAAAACAGGTATTAAAAAAGCGCCAAAAAGAGAGTGAACTTCACTTACCCGTACAGCGATTGTCTGAGATGTCGTCTTCTTCTTCAATCTTCAGCGGGAGAAATTTCAAAAGACGCATCACGTGAACCAACCAGAAAAGCTGCTGTTACCATGGAGATCGCGCCGAAATAAAACAATAGTTGACTGCTGTTTTAAATAAACTGTTATTTCGGAAAAAAAAATCCAGATATTACATTTTTAACATGATTTTGTGGTGCTTAAAATAAAAAGTATGGAAAACTTAGACTTGGATGTGGATTTGTTTTTTTTTGTTTTGTTTTTGTTTTTTTTGTTTTTTATTACAAATTTATAAAAAAAAACAAATTCAAATAAATAATAGGTTTAATACTTTAAAAAATCATAGGTCTAATACTTATCATGTTAGTAAATGTATATTTTTTAATGATACAGCATTTTGTAAACATTGCTGAAAAGTAAATACTATATTTATTCATTATTAATCATTTTTTAAACAATTGGACATATATTTTTTCACTGACTCATTTAAGTCAATTTATATTATTATTATTTATTATTAAAATCTTAACACCTTTTTCAGAGGGGTCGGGGTGGGGTACGTATAATCTTGCCTTGAAAATATAGTAGCAGGCTTATAATTGTCCAGTACACAGAATATGGCCCACAATCGCTACACTGATCTGGGCCACATACCTCCCATCCACAATCGGCCCAAAAGTTGTCTGCCGTCATGCACTGCCATCATTGCCACACTTGGCCCACAGTTGGCTGACAAGATGTGGGCCACACACCTCCCATCCACAATCGGCCCAGAAGTTGTCTGCCGTCATGCACGCAGTGCCATCATTGCCACACTTGGCCCACAGTTGGCTGACATGATGCATGCCATTGCCGGCAACACGCCAGCAGTGCCATGATGAGGCCACATTTGGGCCAAGTCTGTTTGCTATGTGGGGCAGCAGGCATGTTATCAACAAAGAGAAAAGCAAATAGGGCAAACAGACCCTCAAAACACAGCTATTCACAGCTGTTGAGACAGATCACTCGGCTCATTTCACTGAACACAGAAACCGGCACATCTGAAGATAAAATGGGGCACAAATAGACATGCAGACCCACAACTCCAGACGTAAACATTCAGACCCAAATACAAACCAAAATCAGAGCAGATACATTTTCATATCCATTTACAATTCTGCAAGTAGTCTGCGTCAGCAAGTCTGAGAGAACACACCTGTTAGAGCAGGAAACATGGAAATTAAATGGATGGAGAAAGAGCCATCAGATCCATCTGTGTCCAACAAATACTGCATGTTTCATCATTATTACTAAAAATCAGATTTTTGAAAAAGTAATTCATATTGAGATACCATAAAGCATATTAAGAGACTTAATCTTCTCATGATTATCAGAGAAGGAAGGTTGTTGCAGTGTTATGTGTTCAAAAACCTGATTCAGTACTCGGGCTGCAATCGCTCAGGTTGGGTGAGTCACTGTCTTTAATCACTTCAGCAGTTCCCATGGTGATGTGAAGGTATATGTGAGTGCTAGTCACTTAAACTTATTAGTGGCTGTATGCAACAACAGGTAAACAACAACATATGGCTATTAAGCTGACCCAAAGCTTAGTAATTTTTTTTAATGATTTCATGTTACCATTGGTTTTATTTATAAAAGTCTAGTTCATAAAATATCTTGTATATAAAATATCATTCTAGTTCATAATAAATCCAGTCTAAAGTAGATTGTAAAGTGTGCCCAAATACTAAGTAACAAGTAACAAATCTGCCCAAATACTAACACAAGTTTCCATTATTTTGTTTTATGCTGGTTTTGAGATGGACTAACAGGTGAAATTGGTCGACCAGAACCAAGTCTTACTGGTTAAGCCAGCTTGATAAGAAGCCAATTTGATAATGGCGAATGCTTTTACAATCCCTACTGATAAGAGTGAAGTACAGTGTAGCCTCGGCTCGGTTTAAAACATATTACCATATTTAAATCCTTTTCATAAAATTCCCTTCAAAATCAGTGCAGAAAATATGTGTGGGCCTAGGATTATAAATGTATGCCATAAAAGGACATGGTGATGAGGAAAAAAATGTAAATCGAGATGTGTGATGATTTGGGGATTAAAAATGCAAAAATAATAATAATAATAATAATAATAATTTAAAAAGTTTTCCATCAACATGGGGCACCGTAGATACACAATGTTTTTCATGTGGATGCCCAGTATATTTGAACCATATTAATTTCGGCCAAAATTACAGATATAACAAACATTTTATTTATCATATCAGTCATTATTGTGCATTTAATTGTGCATGCCCTATTTTATGTTACATATTTTTTACAAAGCTGTGCATCCCTAGTTTTTCATTTTGCTTCATTCTAAACAAAAAAAAATAATGGCTATTTCTTTAAATTCAATTGGATTTTAAATGTATCCAAAGATGGATGATCTTTCAACTTCTTGGTAAAGAATCTGGCATGACATTAGTCCTGGACTAGTAAATCAGTCTCTTTATAAGAGTGCATATGCAGTGAAAATTGTCGGGGAATAGGGAAATAGGAAATGATATCATTCCTAAAGTTTACTGAGAAAAATTATTTGCCATCATGACAATTTACTGGTGGAAATAATACCGCCAATAAAAGGGTAACAACATTTAAAAATAATGTTCTCTAACTGGAGCCCATGAGTCACATCAGTGTACTGTAACAAGAGTAAATACACCTACACGTACATCAGTTCCACCGCCATGTGATGTGCTGCATAAGCGAAACATCAACCAAGACATTGAGCAGTACCAACAAGCCAAATTCATCCAAGCGATTCAGGCATGTGTTGGAAGTTATACTGCCTGTGTACCATCTAACTTTCTACCCACGGGTCACAGAAGTGATTTTTAAAAAAAGAAAAAGAAAAAAGATAGAGGGCATGTGGAAAAGAGAAACTTTTGAGAACTGTGTTTAAGTCCTGGGGAACTCATTACTGCTTAATACATTATCAGTGCCAGTAGTCCAGCCTGTTACAAATACATCCACACAGCACTGTGTCTTTATGGACCTCAGTACATACACATACTCATCCACAATCAGGGCATGGTGTCAGCCCCGGAAGTGCAATTTAAGCCACAGATAAGTTTGCTTTGCCACTGTGAACAGAGGGCTCGCTGACACAGCACAGCAGAGGTTGCCATTAAAATTAATGTCCTGGGATTGGAACGACACTTAGGTGGGAATTAATAACAGAGAGCTTAGAAGAGGGTTAAATCTGTGATTAAAATGTGCTATGATGCTAATGAGAGCATGGTAATGTAAGGAATCTTTGTGTTTAGTTTAAGGGCTCATGTCTATCACTCTCTGACTGACAGAGGATTTGCTGACGATGGGTAATGTAATCATACTCACAGCTGGCACTGGTCCCCTTTGACCCCTTTAGTGGTACAGTAGCATTTCCCTGAGTTGGAGTGGCACACGTTAGCATGGTTGTTACATCTGCAGGCTGGAGAGAAGAAAGAAGACATAGAAAAAGACAAAAAAGAGGGAAGAGGATTGTTTAAAGGGACAGTTCACCCAAAAATGAAACCTCTAATTATTTACTGTTCCAAACTTGTATGACTTTGTTTCTTCAGTGGAACACAAAAGGAGAAACTGGAGACTGTGGTTCTGCTTTTTTCCTCCATGCAATTACAACAGCGTAAAAAAAATCCAAAAGCACCAAAAAAGTATAAGTAATCCATCAAAATTTTCAAAAATCACTCAGAGGAACAGCTCTAATTTAAGTAATTATTAACTGATTAGTCATTATTAACTGATTTATTGTCTTTCACTGTGCTGTTATCAAAGACTCCATATACATGGTTCACTAGTACTGCTAGAAAGAGAAAATGTAATCGCAATCTGGTGGCTCTTGTAGAAGGAAATCCTGCTTTCTAAACAAAGAGCTAACCGTCAATTGGCTTGTCAACGCATCATTGCACCTTCTGTTGTGGTGGTAAGAGAATATGGGCTTGACTCCCGTTGCACATACACACAGCATGAGACGACACTGTAAGTTTCTGTGTGAACGAGATATTTTGAGACTCCTGCAAGTAAATACGGTTGTCAATCCCAAAAAGCTGACAGTGTGAACCATAGAAACAGTTCATTTCATGAGATTTGCACTTAGGACTGCGCATGCACATTGGCTAGAGGAACCTGAAATGTAAGCTACTTTAACGCTCATGCCACAATTTATTGCCGATTTGAAATATATTACCGAAAGGTGAGTTTTTGTGATTTTGGTACTTATCCAAGCAGAGATAAATACAATAGCTGCCTGCAAGTGTTGCAAATATGGCCACCATATGGCTAACAATGAGTCAGTGAGAACTCAAGGACCAGAATCGGACTCGTTATTCGAACTGCCTCAAATGCATTGAGACTCAAAATAATGACTCGTTCATGAATGGGGAATAACTTTCCACATGAACACAATTAATGCACAAATTTGTACTTTTAAGTGGAACTACTACGTTCTATAAATAAACGGGCCACAGTTTGCATTTAAACAGACGTGACTATTTTAACAAACCTGAGCCTGCATCTCTGGAGCTAGTGCTCCTCTCATTACAGATGCAATTCTCATTAAAGGTTATCAGATGGTAATATCAGAATGAAACCACATACACTCACACATAAACAGAATTTAACAGTGCATCAGAGACAATTACTCAGAGAGAGAGAGAGAGAGAGAGAGAGAGAGAGAGTTTGTTCATTAAGCAGATTATCATCACTGAGGTGAGGCTCCAAAACAAGCAAACAAGAGACTATTCCATTCTTTCCAATCCAAGTCCACGCCACTTTAGATAAAAGTATCTGCAAAAAAATGACTAATTAGATTAATTGTTTGGTTATTTTAACTTTACATATTACAATCATCATTAACTTTACATATTACAAATCATTCTAACTTAAAAAAAATAAATAAATAAAAACTGACCCTAAACTATGGTTGCTATTGCTGTGTGGTTGATATTGTTCTTGCCGGTTGCTTGGTGGTTATTTAATTCCCCAATTCTCTTCAATGTTGAACGAATGAGGAATTTATTTAGCGCTTTTCATGTGTGCTACTGTAAAGAGCTTTTTCTCACCTCATCCACCACCAGTGTGCAGCATCCACTTGGATGATGCGCTGGCAGCCACAATAAGACAACGCCAATGCGCTCACAACACACCAGATATAGGTGGAGAGAGAGTGATAAAGCTAATTCAATAAATGGGGATTATTAGGAGGCCATGATTGGCAAGAGCCATTGGAAGTAATGTGGCCAGGACACTAGGGTTAAACCCCAACTCTTTTATGAGAACTGCCATGGGATTTTTAATAACCGCAGAGAGTCAGGGCCATGGTATTACGTCATGGTTTTAGAGTGCCCATCTCTTTCCTGGGGTGTTAGGACCCACACAGACCACAGGGTGAGCACCCCTGCTGGCCTTCCAGCAGTAGCCTGGTTTTCTCAGGAGTTCTCCCATCCAGGTACTAACCAGGCTCAGCCCTGCTTAGCTTCAGTGGACAACTAGGGTGATATGGCCAATGTTCTGTTTTTAAAACATGGTTCAATATAAATCTAGGGGATTAAGGGATTATCTTGCCTATTCTATAGAGGACAAGGTAAAAATCTTAAGTTTAATTGCTTACAAGCAACTCTCTGCAACAGCTGTGGTGGACTAAAGTGTCCGCTGAAGGACTGCTTACTGATAGTATTCTCTTCCTAACTGGTATCTGAGGGGTTTTGCTGCTAAGGATGCAGGTGTTTGTCAATACATTCATCACCTTCACAAAACGATGACACAGAGGTGATTACACACCATAATGAGGTAAGGCTGTGTTTATGTTGATCTAGTCACATGTTTTTTATGTTGTACACATCAATTAGCTTGGTTAATTACTGTGCAATTTGTAGAGTATGGCTGTATTTGCAACGCCACATGCTGAACCTTCTCTGGTAGAACTGATGTCAGCAGATTCCACATGCCTTAAACTGCTTCTCCACCCACAGTGTCATATTAGACAACGCCATTGGACTATAAAATGATCTAGCTGCCTTCACAGAGCAACCCTGCATAAAAATGTTTTTGATTCACTTTAAATAGCATGGAAGAGCTCTCCCAGCCAGAGATTTTATTTGGATCCAGAATACAGCCATAAAAGGGCTGTCATCTTTCTAAATAAAATAAATAAAGAGCAATAAAATGAATAAAGAGCAACAAAAAAGAGAGACAGAGAGAAAAGAAAAGAACACAGACTTTATATCTAGAGGCTTTATTGTTGGCTTTTTATCCACAGGTCTGTTCTTCACACAATTCCCGGTTCAAATTCCCCCAGCATGCACTGCAATCACTTTTTCATACCAGCCAACAAGAGACAATTGACAAAAAAAAAATTGTTGATTGTTGTTGTCATCTTTTGGTATATACATTTGTATATATATATATATATATATATATAGTGTCTGCTTATATATATATAAATATATTTATATATGTATGTATATATATATATTCAATATTCGAAGAGTTATTTTAAATTGTAATAATATTTCACAATATTTGTGTTTTATTTTACTGTATTTTGATGACCTGTCACATAATAAAACCATCCATCTATCGATCAGTCAATTGATCGATAGATAGATAACAGTGAATTAAAGGCTTCAAGGCTTCAAATCATGTCAGAATTCAAGGCTTCAAATCATGTCAGAATAACGCAAGGAGCCATACACTTTCCGCATGATCTCAAATGTTTACATGCAATTTTATTATGCATTTGTGTGCATTTGTGCATCTGTAAGAAAGTCATTTTGACAGGACTGTGGGGACGGGCTGCGACAAAGTGTCGGTGGCTCCGCTCTGCATGCTGCAAAAAGATTTATAGCTAAATTATGATGTGTAAAATGTACTCACATTATAGCAGAGGAACAGCACTGCCTGGAGGTGCTGTTTCAGCACTTGCTCTAAAAGCGATAGACTACAAACACACACACGCACACATGGACATGCGCACACATACAATCTCTCATAAATATTTCTGCCAAAAGCCATTTAGGCCCTGGAAATGACAAAACTTACAAACACGCTTACAATGAAAGTAGTCACCTAACCATGTCTAACAAAACTTTTTCATAACGCACACAAACATTAGCATATATCTGACATGCTTCATTTAGATCCACAATAAAGCTTAATGAAAGAAAGGAAATAAATATGAAAATAAAGGGAGACAGAAGAGATAAACTGATATTTGTATGCAAACAGACCGTGGAACATAAGTGACAAAACCAGAGTGAAGGCTTTCATAAATCCTCACAAACAGATGCGCACACACACACACACACACACACAGATGACATTAAAACTGATTGAAGTTAAACCAGTCTTGAAAAGAACATGGCTCAGCCGCATTTCATTCCGAGTTTATGACTGGCTTTAAGTCAAATCTGATAAAGCAAAGAGGGTATTTGGGTTTTACTCCTAAATGGAGATATTGATTAAGAAGTGAAAACTGTTAAGTGTGCCTATTGTACCATCTCAAGGGTTTTGGAAAAATATTATAATGGTTGAAAAAGTTACATAGTGCTGCTTTAAAAATAAAGGAAATGAAACGTTATGTACCATCATTAATCATTAACCACTTAATACTCAGTGATTTATACATCTCTCACCTCTTAAAATGTCCTCACCCTCCAAACAATACATTTTAATCCACAATGATTAATAATCAACATCACTATAAAAAGTGCAGTGGGCATATCTGCTTGATGAAACTAAACTTCCCTTGACTTCTCGTTCGCTTTTTTTCTAGTTAACAAATTTAGGTTAAAATAAGGTTACTTATTCCTGGCTCATTAGAGGGCTAACTAGTGCTTAATTTCTATCATCTTTTACATTTTTATAACGTTATTGTAAGATATAGCCTACACATGCATGCAGGCATGCAATATACAGGTATAAGAAAGAGCTATAATTTCACTCCAAATGTAATATTCCTACCTTTGACGCAAACATGCTTTTATATAAAGCACACATACAGTCTCAATGGCAAAAGCCACAGTCATTCTGAGTAAATTGGTTCCAGGTAAGTGTTTCTCCACTCACCTCTATGGGGCAGAAGGTTTTAATTAATGGATAGGAAGGTGAGCCTGGTGCTGTGCCCCCCATGACCTCTGTTGTCATCTCACAATGATGTGTTACTATCCTGAGCCAAATACAGCAGATGCTGCCAGCCGGCTCCATGGAGACATCTCAAAGACTGGAGCTACTGTACTGAAGCTAAAGAACAGATACAGTTCTTTGCTTCCGATCTGTCACTGAAAGACTACTGGTAGATGGTAGAGCTCTATGATTAATCGTTAAAAAGATTGCAGTCTCTTATTCCTTAATGACAGCGACTTGGCTGTGTATTACAACTTATAAGTATGAATAGCAGCGAAAATTAAAATCTGCATTGCGCCACTGACTCAC